ATCATAAAGCTTACAGCAATTACACTGACTGAACAAGGCAAATTTTGTTCAGATTGCCCCTCAAATAAACAAACCATAGTATGTATTTAAAGTATGTATGCTTTAGATAAAAGCATCTTGAAAAAAAAAAAAAAGCCTATCATTTGTCTTCTTCTTTCTTATTCCTTTGTGTGTCCAAGAAAATAAGAATGCAATAGAGGGACCAATCCATGATGAATTGCTTTTCTGATGGCATCATCAAGGAACCTTTTGTGGGATGCTGTGCTTGATGTTTTTGACATGTATTTTAGACTCTGAACACCTTCAAGACCTCTGATTTGAAACTGATGATTCCTTATGGTTCTCATATCCATGAATTTATCTAACCTCCTTTGTTTTTAGCTCATACGCAATTTCTGGTAATGAATCTTTCAATATATTTTAGTATTTCATGTACTTATCCTCTAAGAATTTCTTTTGTTTCTCTGTTAATTTTTTTTTCCATGAAAGGGAAGTTATCTCTTATTTTAGTGATTTCTTTCTCCTTTGAAAAGCAAACCATTCTTTGCCAAATAAATGTGGGCTCTGGGGATTTTCAGGCCACTTTCTTGAAAACTCTTGTCAGCCAAGTAGAAAGTCTCTCTTGGGGCCCAACTTTGTAGTTCTCTTCTCCACATTTAGGGTGAGACTCTCAAAAGCAAACTTGGGAATTTATTTAACAGCTCTGCTTGAGCAAAGAGTACCTTTTTTGGCTATGGTCTTCCTAGATGATGCAGCTCAAACACAGTAATATTTGAAGACCTTTTAAGTCTGTCAAGCAGCCACCCATCCTCTGATTTCAAAAGACCTACATCTGCTTTCTGAAAGTAGGTCAGAATATTGCCTGGAAAAGACCTGCTTTACTAGCAAAAAGGGAAATAAAACATCAGGGACAAATTAAAGAATGGGGAATAAATTCAAGTTTTTGTTCTTCAACCTAGATAAACTACTAAGAATGTATTGTTAATCTCTGTCATGTCCATCCTCTTGGTGCTGGCCCTTAGCACTGTTGAAGCAAGAAGCAATGAAAATAGAGGAGGGGGATAAGAGAGGTTGCCTCTCCCTGCTGGTTTTGGAGCAGGACACTGCCCTCCTCTGCAGACTTTGTACCACCATTGTATTCTCTCCTCAACTCCACGTTCTCAAATGCGCCTTGTTGAACGATTTCCTAGGACAGATCATAACAGATGCTAAAAATAAACAAATTGTCCCTAATGCCATCAAGCGAAGAGCTCCTAACAAAAGCAACCATTGCCACCACTACCGTTTTTGAGTCATGACTATGTGTTCAGTCCTTTGTTTCATTGAGCCCATTGTATCCACTGATTCATATAATAAACCCACCCACAAAGCTAGAAGATTGAGGAATTTTATTAACCCCATTTTATAGATGAGGACACTGAGGCTTAGTAAGATGGATAAATCACTTGCCAAAATCTACAGCTGATAAGGAATGGAGCCAGAATTTGAACTCAGATCAGGCTCACTTCAGACTGCTTACCCTTCCTCGTTGTGCTGAGGGGATCATAAATGAGCCTAGGATCATAAATATTGAAGGGAAATTTCTCTACTCACCTCATTTTACCAGTAGGAAACCTGAGGCCAAGACATGGGAAGAATAAGTGTTAAGGCATTTGGTTTTGTGATAGCAAATCCATTAACATAAGTCTGTCCTGATTTAAAAATAAATAAATTTTTAAAATAAATTTTTAAGCATTTGAATTTGAGGAAATATAACCTAAATTTCAAACATGTATTTATTTCCCTTTTTTGAAAATCTTAATTCTACAATTTACTTTTCAGCATTTACAAGTTAGGTTTCTCCAAAATATACCTCATACCTTTCTGTAAGATACCACCAGGAGCTGTCACGCTGAGCATAAGTGCACCATTTGGAAGACATATTAGTTTTTTTTTATTGCTGTGTAACAAATTACCACAAATTTAGCCACTTAAAACAGTATGCATTTATTATCTCACAGTTTCTGTGGGTCAGGAGACCGGACAAAGATTGCAGTCCTCTGCTCAGGGTCCCACAGGTCCTACAGGGTCTTGGTGTAGGCCGTCCCTTTCTGGAATTCTGGATTCTCTTCCAAGCTCACATGGTTTGGGGCTGAATTCAGCTCTGTAGTTGTAGGATTGAGGTCCCTGCTTTCTTGCAGGTTTTCAGCCAGGGACTGGAGGGAAGGTGTAGCAGTTCCTGGTTGTGTGGCTCTCTCAGATGTTGTCTTATTTGGTTCGGGCTGCTATGACAAAGTACTATAGCCTGGGTGGCTTATAAACAACAGAAATGTATTTCTTACAGTTCTTGAGCCTGGAAGTCTGAAATCAGGGTGCCAGCAGAGTTGGATAACAGCCCTCTTCCAGTTTTGCAGATTGCCAACTTCTCCTTATGCCCTCACATGATGGAAAGAGAGTAAGGCTCTCTAGCCTCTTCTTATAATGGTGCTAATGCCATTCATGAAGGTTCATTCATGATCATTAGATCATGATCACCCTCATGCTCTAATCACCTCCCAAAGACTCCACCTCCAAATATTATCACAATAAAGATTAGATTTCAACATATGAATTTTGGAGGCAGGGAGCACAAATATTCAGTCCATGACAGAGACCCTTTCACAACATGGCCATTTACTTCTTCAAAACCCACAGGAGAATCTCTCTGTCCAGTCCACGATACGTGAGGTGACATAATCATGAGATTGACTATCTCCTCACCTTTGCCATATTCTCTTGGCCAGAAGCAAGCCACAGGCTCCATCTTCACTCACAGGGGTTGAAACAAGGGTACAACTCATTGATGGTCTTCTTAGAATTCTGCCTTCCACAGGAGAGAAAGTTCAGAGGTGACCAAAAGTTCCAAGGTGATGTGGAACTGAACGTGACAGAATGTCCACATCGTGTGGACTCAGGGAGAATCTGGCGTCATGGGTCTCAGCCTGAGGAACTTTAAGCAAATAGCTCCACCCCCTGACGAGTGTAATGTAATTAGTTTAGGGTAAGGCCTGGGCATCACTTTTTAAAAAATCTTGCCAAGTGATTCAAATATGTCCGGGGCTGAGAAATACTGACTTAGCCCAAAAACTTTATTTCACAGATGGGGACTTGAAGTCCAGGAAGGCTGTGTCTTCCTGAAGGACGTGTGTCCCGTTAGTGGTAAGACAGGATTAGACACAAGTCTCCTAGCTATGTCGGGCCTTCCTCTTCCTGGACAAATATCTGGCACCTTGTGGAAATTGTCTGATTTGTTGTGTGGGCTTTTAAAGGCAAAAAGTCCCCAAATTGTAGGTAGATTTGACCAAAGCCAGCATAAATTCTCTCTGTTGCTGTGTAGCCAACTTGTTAGTACCAATATAGATTTCGCAGATGGAACTTTCTGTCACCAGCTTCAAGAAGGAAAACATAAATAAAATTCACTTATTTTTGAAAAGTTGGTATAAAACAATTCTTGGTGTTTAGGGAAATGTATTTGCCATTGTGGCTTAAATCATAAATTATTTGATGCTTATGTAGGATGTTCATTTTCTGACACAGATGAAATGGGTACCTAGACTGTGTTATTTAGAAAGGTGGTTGTGGGGGCACCTGGGTGGCTCAATTGGTTAAGCGTCCAACCCTTGGTTTAGGATAGGGTCATGATCTTGGGGTCGTGGGATCAACCCCTGTGTCAGGCTCAGTGCTGAGTCTGCCTGAGATTCTCTGCCTCTCCCTCTCCATCTGCCCATCCCCCTGCTCTCTCTCTCTCTCTCTAAAATGAATAAATAAAATCTTAAAAAAAACCCTGCTCTTTTGGCAACATATTATGGATCTGAAAGGGAAACCCATAGCACTTGATGAGCTCATAGGTCCTGGTTTAACAGTCAGTGGATCAGGCCTTTTCCTGGGTTTAGTCATGACTGTTTTTAAATGCGTTCTTCACTCTGCTTTGCCATTGACCCATCTCTGCTACTACAGACTCTTGTCCTTCAGCCCTAAAATTCTCTGAGTTTGGGAAGTAAAGCCCTAGTCAGTAGAGAAGAAATAGGCCCTTGCAGAATCAGGAACCTGTTATAATCCTCTGCTCCTTACTTGGCTTTGACAACACATATCTCCATTTAAAGGAACACCAGGGTCACCAAAGCCCTAAACATGAGCCTCTCCTGGCTCCCAGGCTCATCAGGAATTCTTTGTCCCTTTATTTGACCAGGAAATTCTTACTGTGTTGTATCAGACAAAGATAATGGGAACCAGTGGGAGTCTGGCACTAGCTTCAGGTTATTCCAGGTCAGTGAGGGAGAAGGAGACAGCCCGGTCTTTTTGCCATTTCCTCACTAGCCTAGTCCTGAAGGTCAGGACCTCGACCTAATGATCACATAAGTTTTTCCAGATGGTGATAACAAGGTTTGGATATCTCTCCAGAATTTCTCATTGAAAAGCCCAAGGAAGTGATCATGGATTTAAGATGAACATAACCCTACTGAGTTTAATCTAGAAGAAGGAAAAACATGTTAACTCGTTTTGATTGAAAACTCCTCTAGCTAAGCTGAGACATATCTGCAATTTCTGTAGAGACCTAAATATAAAATTAAAATAGCATGTAATCATGATAATCACCATGGAAAGACAGCATGAGTTCCCAGAAGCCCAAGGGCAATAGTAATTAATGCTCCCTAAATTTATGCAGGGTTTTTTTTTTTTTTTTAAGTGGCAATTTGCTTTCCTTTTCCTTAAGAGAAATTGTTACCAGTAACTGAGAAATGCAGCCCTCACTCTAAAGAGACACAAGGCTGCAGCTATCTGGGCCTAAGAAGAAATCAGTTCATAAAACTAGCTCTCTGAACTGATATAGGGCACTAGACATTGAAGGTTATCTCTCAGAAGACTGGGAAATGTATAAATGCCACAGCCTTTCTTCCTATCTATCTCATAACTCGCTTTGCCCTGGTTATCTCATTTTACTTTGAATCAAAAGAATGCAAAAGACAGGTGGGATCACTTACCATTCTCCTGCTTTTAGGCTGCTTCATACAAATTCCTCAAGGTAGAAGAAAACCAGTCTGATTTGATGGTCAGTTATAACAAGGAAAATCCATAAGCCTCTGATATTACTGACTGGTCAACAATAATACTAACAGTAACAATTACGTGTCACACACCAAGTACAATATTTAGCAAGCAATAAATACTTGGTAAATTTTGGCGATTGTTGATTTGGTGATTGCTGATGGTGATGATGGTGATAGTAACAATGACAACTACTCTTTCTCTGTGTTTCAGATTCTTTGTCGTTTTACCCTTATAACAAGCTTACCGGATAAATATCATTATCCTAATTTTACAAGGAATGAGGATAAGGCTAGGGAAGTACAGGTAACATGTCCAAAGTCACCCAGTTAGTGAGTGGAAGTGGCCAGATTTGCATTCATGTCTGTAGACATTTTGGCTATTATCTATTATCTATTACTTTTATTTACTTTTCAGAAGCAATTTCAATTAGTAGTCCCCTTCATCCTTCTGTTCAGTTCTTGATTACCCTAGGGTCCATTATCAATGATAAAAAAACCTCATTTTTTTTCAGCTTTTTCATCTGAACCTAGTCCAAATTCTGTCACCCTCCCCATGTCCCTATGAAGGCACCAGTCACTGTTATGGAAAGATCTTTGAGGTCCTGTGACTTTGAACCCCAAAGTTAAGTTTCTGTCTCTTGGCTAAGAGGTGCCTCAAATGGGGGTACGAAGCTTTGGCTTTCATGAACTTTGGTCCTCTCAAGAATCCCTTCTCATGCAGCACGAGGGGACCTGTGATACTCTGACTTCCATTTACAGTGCTGGGCAGTTCAAAGTAGAGCAATGAGTGAGAGAGAGGTAGGTAAGATTGTTTTTAGATTTCTTCCAACCTTAATGTCATAAGTCTATGATCACCCTCTACCTTGGAGACACAGAAGAATCCTTACTGATGTCACAGTGGTTAGCATTCTAGAAGGACTATACATTCATGATCATCCCCTATCTGTTTTTGTGGAGTGTATGGGCTCCTTCCCAGGTAGCTTGAACGCCCTTTCTTCTCCAGGCCCTAGAGTAGCTAATGCAAGTCCAATCCTACTCTTTTTTCATCCTTCTCTCGTCTTTCTCGTGGCTGGCATTGGCTTTCTCATTTTCCCATCTCACTCATGTTTCTAACTTTTTAATGGTGTTTCTAATTCCATTCATCCTTTACTAATTACCTAAACTAATATTAATCGAAAGATCTTATTTGCTACATATAAAGTCATCCGTGGAGGGAATTGACATACACACCGTGGTCCCAAACTTCAAGAGTTCATGTCTAATGACAGAAGGTAGTGTGACAAAGGATATAGAAACACAGAGAAAAGATACTCTGGGGCAGAGAGAGATGAAATCTGGGAAGGCTATAGAAAGAGGCAAAGCTGGAGCTGATGCTCTGAGCAAGGAGAACTAAGGTTTTATGATTTTTGTTGACTCCAAAAAGATCCACACTTCATCTTCCCTTCCTTTTCACAAGATTTGGAAAGAAAATTCAATCCAAGTCCAATGGTAGCTTAGAGGCTACCCTGGAAGTGACCATGTTATGCCTGGGTAGACCTGAATGCTCTTACGGGACAAGAGGAATAGTTAACTCACATGAAAATGCACTGTGTAAACAGCCACAGTGTGACAAGCCCCCGTCTGCAATTTCACTGGGAATCGGGAAGTTAGCTATAGCAGAACTAACCACAGCTTGATTTCCCTTAGAGAAATTACTCTTCTCCCTGTATATTAGGCAGTGTTAGGAAAATAGCTTTGGATTGGGAACCAAGAGAGCTGCGTCCTAGTCCTTGGACAAACAAAATGATTTGTTTGGCCTGCCATTCCTTGGCTAAACAGGCGAGGAAACCCCTGAGACTCCTAATAGTTGTCATATAGTCTGATTTTATAATTTAATTCTTTAATGAAATGAAATGAAAAACAGAGGAATCATTGTGTGGAAAGGTTTGTGAAGTGGGGAACATTGAGCTACACTATTTACTTTGAACTCCAAATTACCATTGAATATATAAAGATATAAATAAAGAATCTTGGGACCTCAAGAAGGAATATAGACAGTGACAAGAGAATCTAACTATATTACAACGTATGAAACTACCTCACTGGAGCCAATGAGGGGAAAAGGTGCCATCCTAAGTATTTTTGGAAATGAGTTGAGTTTATAGGACTAAAGAAAAAAAAATTGTACCCTAGTTGATAAAGTGGTTTCCCACGGGGATTCAGGTTAACAATTCTGATACTGCCATGCATATATATTGGAATTGAAGAATTAATTGAATGGGTAACAGATAGTGGGGGCCAGTTCTTTCACTATTGGAGTGGGAGGTTCCAGATAAGCAAGAAGAAGAGGCTAGAATGATCCATATGGCAATGGATTAGAGTTGGGGGCATCAGAATGAAGTTATGTTTAGCTTCATATAGATACATATTTTTACATACATAAACAGTTACAGATATGTGTATATACATGGATTAGTATAAACACACTTTTTTTTTTTTTCTGTCAGCTGAGAGGGCCTAAAAGAATTAACACTCCAATAGCAATAAACACACTGGAACCCAGACCTTGGTTTCTAACACTGTTCTCCAAAACAAATAACCAGGGCTATTTGGAGAAATGACTGATTCTATGACTTGGAGAAGAAATATACAAGATGAGCTTGAATCATCTTTATCACCAGAAAGTAAAAAAAAGGACTCAAAAAAAGAAAGAAAGAAAGAAAGAAAGAAAGAAAGAAAGAAAGAAAGAAAAGAAAAGAAAAGAAGATACACACACAGCGCACAGTAATGGAGACATGCCAAAGGGAAATAAAAGCCAACTAAAAGAGCTCCCAATGGCCAAAAATGGGACAACTTGAAGGGAAAAAACAGAGTAGCATTAGACTTTAACTAAGTATAAAATAAGTATACATGATTCCAAATGACATAAATTAATGATTGAATAGTTTAATAATGGGTAAGAATTGAAAATTCCGCCTCACACAAAAATTTCAAATATTTTATGTGGAGCTCCACTTCAAGGAGCTAGAGCCTAAACCCTCACTCCTTAAATGTAGGCTGCCCAGAAGGATTTCTTTTCAAAATGCACAGCATGCAAATGGGAGGAAAGAGTAATTTAATTATGGAGACATCTGACAAACACTACCTCAGCCAGGTGGTCAAGGCCAACATCAATGATTCAAAATCACATTGCTAGTATATACACTTGATTGAGTTTGATGAAAAGAGCGCTTTGTCTGTCTGTCTGACCTTCTTTCCAGTAGCCCATAGCCCCAGTCTTACCATGATAAAAATATCAGATGAATTCTAATAATGGAGCATCCTACAAAATACCAGACCAGTACGCCTTAAAACTCTCAAGGTCATCTAAACAAAGTCTGAGAAATGACCACTGCCAAGAGGACCCTAAAGGGACATAACATAACTGTAATATGGGACCCTGGACAGAAAAAGACAATGAGGTAAAAAACCAAGGTAAATTAAATAAACTATGAACTTTAGTGAATCATAATGTATCACTATTGGTTCATTATTTGTGCCATATTCATGCACGGCATTAATAATAAGGGAAACTAATGTGAGGGAAACTGGAACTCTCTATATTCTCAATTTTTCTCTAATCTAAACCAGTTCTAATTAATAGTCTATTAAAAAGAAAAAAGTATATATAAGAAAAAATACAAGAAATCTCTCATCTGCCTGCTCATGGTATAACAGAGCTCCACTGCTTCCTGGAACCTGACACGTCTCAGGGTATAGTAAAGGAGCTAGAGTCCAAGACTCTAGTAGGAAGGGTACCACGGGAGGGCAGGTTATCTTCGACCAGTTGTGTAAGTAAGTGCAGTGAGGTTAGGAGAGAAAGACAAAATGCTCAAACGTGAAAGCAGACAGATTTCAGTGTTGGACCAACACTGCTGGGAGTGGGCTGTGGAGAGTACCTGGGACAGAGGGTACCAAGCTGCAATCACCCTTACAGGCAGATGGCTTTTTTGTTATGAAAATAACCACATTCATTCTTCACTCTCATGGCAAGAGAATGGGGCAGGGAAAAGGATGTATTGCTCAAAATCTTTTCAAATCTCTATTAATTGAATTTCTGATTAGCACACATATTATTCATAATGAGGTTCTAGGGAGCAGCTGCAAACACAGTTTAATATTCTGTTCCCATGATGTTTCCATGTAGGTGGGGCCGTTGGACAGTCATGGAAACAAGCGCTGGCATATGTGCCCTCATCCTGATTGCAATTTGTATCAAGTAATGAGATTAATGACCACTTAGCAGAAAGTTTAAAATAAATCACAGTGTGTATGCTTTCTCAGTTCACTTTTCATGTGTATCTTCATTTGCAGAGGAAACGATCACATTTTCTTCTGCCAATACTTAGAATCATAAGATATCAGATTCTTTGAGAAAATTGAGGCCTAGAGAAGTGAGGTGACTTGATCGATGTCATACAATAGCCACATGTGAGTTAGCACTTTGCTGTTCAAAGTGTGATGTGGATCGTCTGCAGAGCAGGAGCATCGACATCACTTGCCTGTTAAAAATGCAGAATTTTAGGCCCCATCCCAGATCTACTGCATCAGAAATCTGCATTTTAACAGGCTTCTGTGGTGATTCATATGCAAATAAAGTATAAGACTGCTAGTTTAGAATCCACAATTGTTTCTACTAGATATATGTATTGTGTAAGATGTTTGGGCTGCAAGTAATAGCATAAAACATTAATAACATATACAGACAGGGTTCTTATTGTTTCCTATAATGCAAAATCAGGAAAAGGTGATCCCGTAATTGATTTCACCAATAACTAAAATTCTTTATCATCCATCCATTCCATTATTTTTAGTGTGTTGAGTTTGTTGCCTCATTGGTACAAAATGGCTGCCATAGTTCATGGAGCTGAGTCCAAGGGAGGCAGGGAGAGGATGGGAAAGGGATCCAGGAGACGTTTCCTTAAACACTGTTCTTACTGTCTGGTGGAAAAATCTTTCCCAGATGCCATGGCATACTTTTCCTTGGGTCTTCTTGGCCAAGTTTTGGTCACACAATCATGCTCCAGCTGGAAGAGAAGCTCAGACAATCTCACTGGGTTTTATAGTGGAAGTTGGTCTCGGCCAGTAAGGAAGACAGGTAGGAAATGACTGTTGGTTAGGTGACCAACAGTGTCTGCCCCAACCATGCTGCCTTAAGTTAACACTGGATGTCGACAATCATAGAGTATTCAAGATCTATTTCATTATGCCATTCTTTTGGATGGGGATCTGTAGGTTAAAAGCCTTCTCCATGATTAGATACTTACTTAGATCAGAGGATTAGATAGAAGCCAGCACACCTGGCTCCTGGGCTGCTATTTGTGG